ATAGCAGGCTGGATGACTGCAACGAAACTCATCGACCTACCACTCTCGATTGAATATCCATCTTACAATTGGAAGAATGCTTTCGAACATAATGACCTGGATTGTCTCCGCGATGATGCTTGCTTGGGCTAGCAGCTGTGCTGCCATCGACAGTGCGTACCCTTATATTTGACTCAAAGCATCACAGTTTGCTGACACTGCATGTTGCGTAGTCCCTCCCGAGCCTACTCGTGGCAGCATTGATCTCAACTGGAATGCCACCAGCTCAAGCTACTACATTTCGCTCAGCCTAGCTCCCGGCCCGAACATCTATTCTAGCACTTCCGGCGGCGCCCTCATCGGCGGGGTCGAGTCCTACACGTCCGTCGACATGTTCTTCAACTACACGGGTGCGAGCACCGGCTGGACGCTTTGGGCGGTCCCGACGTCTTATGGGGGGCATGTGATCGACCAACCGTTGACTACAGTTTGGGAGTTCGGTGATATCCCTGTGCCTGAGGCGTGTGCATACACCCCTATTACGCAGATTGATCAGTTGACGTACCCGGCGGACTTTGAGTGGTGGGGCGACTGCGGGATGGGAGGGTTCCCTGTTTTCCACAGCGCGGCTTATGGGTTTGAGGTGTCGCTCAACGAACCGGTGACTGTGGTAGGCTTGTAATGCGCCGAAAGGACTGTATCTCGTAACTCAAGCCAGAAGTCTATACATGCGTAACAAACATATTTTACAAGCCTTCTATCATATGAATACCTGCATGTGCAGACGTGGGAATTGTGAAATAAGCAAGCTATGATCTACTCCGTACACAATCCGACGGCACATGCATATACAAAGTCTGACATTAGCGACACGGTATTCTACTCGATGGATATCTACACTCTATGGTCATATACTTGTCATGCGAGGATATCACGAAGCCTCAATCGCCTGTCCGTGCGTTGAAGTCCGCCCCCAGCCGGGGTTTAAGGCGCGTTTTCCCGGCCTGGGCCTTCTCCACCCTCCGTCCCCCCTCTCCCTCTCCGGCGCAGGAGCCGCCTCTTCCCGCTCAAGCCCGGGCTGCACCTCCGTCCCTTCCTCTTTCGTCTCCCCCTTCCTGGAAGGAGCTCGTTCCAGATCCATCGCCTCCTCCCAGAAGTCAACCACGATAGGTGCTCGGGGCCCTTTCTTCGTGTGACCATCCGAATGCATTCGACCGAGGGCAGCGTTGACCGACAGGCCCCAGCGGTCTTTTACTTCCTCACTAGGCGCTGTGGTTGCTGCGACAGGAAGAGGTGGAAGGAGCGAAGCCGGTGCGGAAGGAGAGCGGGAATGCCCTGCTCGCCAGGTTGATGTCGAGATGCTGAGATCAGCTAACGAGGCCTCCAGCTCAACAGAGGGGCTCTTCTTATGCCATTTCCCTCTCCTCCCTTTCTTTCCTTTTCCCATCCCACTCCCCATCTCTCGCTCCTTCTCCACTTCCTCCCTTTCCTGCCTGACCGTTTCTGGGGAGCATACATCCCAACCCCAGCCCTCGTGTATATGCCCAAAGACGTGCATCCACGGTCCCCTCGCCATACCCTTCACACGTCTAGCCAGCTCCGGGCATCCAGCATGCACACCCTTGCTCGTCAGGTCTAGCGTGCCTTCCCCTAACGGGGGAGTGTGAGTCAAGAGGATGTCCACTTCCTCGGGCATGCGAGCATAGAGCGCTGCCGCTTCCCAGGGTGCGTACTGGAATGCCGGTGTGCCGAAAGCTGGGGAACCAGGCGAGCCCCAGACGGTCCACTTCCTTCCCCCTGGGCGGGAAAAGGTATAGGATGAGTACTGCAGGTAGTGGATATTTGCCTTTCGGGCTCGCGGGGAGGTAAGAAGTTGTCGGAAGTGGGTGACGGCAGATGGGGAGGAGGGCTGATGTGACGGAGGGAGCGAATCGTCTAATAGAGAATCATGGTTTCCTGCTATGACCCTGCATACAATCAGCATTCGATACTATAGGAATATTGAGGGAAAACGCACAGCTTGACAGGATACTGGAGCTGGACGAGCCACTCTACTGCTTCTTCTAGCACCCGTTCCTTGCCCCACCTACTCAGATCCCCAGCGTGCAACAGTACATCCCCCGGTGGCATGAACTCAGGAGGAGGTGGATGACCATGCGTGTCAGAGATGAGGACAAAGCGAGTCGAACCCTCTGGCTGAGGAGGAGGTGGGGAACGATGGACGACGAATGGCGGAGGGTCGTGGGCCATCCAGTACTGTGTTCGAGGATAATAGTACTCGGAGTTAACGTTTGAGATGGAGTGAAGTATTTGTATGCAGAGGAATGAACTTAGTGCAGTGCTATCGAGAAAGAATAATGATGAGTCGCACTGATTGAACGCATTTCCACACTAACTTGAGCGCCTATTTCGATTTTTGACTCGCCGCGTCATGGGCGCCTGAGAGAACACGCCGTTCCCTCCCAGCAAATCACGCTACAAGGATATCTAATCACCGAACACCGGAAATGAATATAACCCAAGGCTTATCCCGTGCACAGGCACTATATGTGAGCGGGCAGCTCTTCCTAATAGGACTTGGACACTTGTAAGAGCAATATTTACATGATGGTGGGGATGAACGATTGTCACGTGTTGAGGCTGCAGCACGCGGCGTTGACGCGTGACCATCTCTGCCTGCATCACAAAAGCTCGAGACACACATATCTCTTTTCGATTACTATACGGCCACACCCAGGTACATGGTCACGCCGCCGCCTAGTTCCATGTCAGCCAGCATACTGAAGGTATACACTTTTATGCATCGTTTTGTAGTACAAGTGATTAACGCTCGTGTATCGTCCTTGTCTACAAGGCTGGCTGTTCACCCGTGCAGGACGTGCTTCCCGCCTCCCAAACCAGCCCGAAGAGAGTATTGTACTGCCTCGACACACTCAACGTGATTCTCGATCATCTGGATTCGAAAACTCTCGTACGTCTTGCGCTTGTGGAACGCCGTTTCTTTGAACCCTGCATGTCCAGAGTATGGTTACATATCTCTTCGCTGGAACCACTCCATCCTCTGCTGCCTTCTGACGTATTTCCTTGGACTTATATATCTCTTCTCACCAACCAGTGGAGGCTGCGGCGTAACCAGCTTCCCGCCGACTTTTCGCGTTTTATCGTCTATAACAAGTTCGTCAAGTCAATCAAACTCTCTCGGGAACATGCCTTTCCCTCAGAAACCCCAATGGATCGACACGACCTGGTACACACTCTGGAAGCCGCCTTGATACCTTACTGGCTGCTGAAGATATGCAACCGGGTATCTCGTTCTGAATTCCTTCCCAATCTTGCAAGAATCGAGGTCGCCTTCCTGGGAGCAGGAAATGCAGAGATACTCGAAGTACTCCTATTCCCCTCACTCAAAAGCCTTACAATTCATGGCACACTCGGTGAAGAGAGCGATGGAGAGAATCATGCCATTATTGTGTCCCTCATCGAACAGTTACCCAACAGCTGTCCAAATCTTACCGATTTGCGCCTTCCCTTCCAAGAACACTGCGCTGCTGCCATGGCCAGTTGCTTGAAGCGGCTGCCTAGCTTGCATACTGTCCATCTTCCGAGAGTTGGACGCGATGCTGCTCTCTTCGACGCATTCAAGACACTGGAAATACTCGACCTCGAGATTGGAGAAGGCACGCTTTCACAACCTAATAAAGAAGAGGTGCAGCGCAAACACGATGTACGCTGGTTGCTTGCCAAAGCCACCCCTACGGTGCTTCATCCTGGGGATTTCAGTCGTCTTCGTGTTCTATCGATGGACACCACCGTCGAATTTGCCACATCATTCCTGAAATCCTGCACCCCCTCGCTCACCTCTTTCGAAATCAAATGCATCTGGTCAAATATTGAGCAAGTACAGGATTTACTAGGCCAGCTCACGACCCTAGCAAAACCTGGTGGAGAATAACTGCGAATACTCTCTCTAACGTTCGAAAAGCCGATATTCCGGTCATGGAAATCGTTTTCCCTTGTTCGCAAGCTTGCATTGCACCGGTTTTGTCTCACTTTGGTAAAGGACTTCAACTCTGCAAAGATGGAGCCGGGCGATCTTACATGGCTAGTTCAAGATTGGCCACAGCTCCGTCATCTCGAACTCAATTGTCATTCTAGCCACATGCTTGGTAGTCTACGTACCGTAGCTCTCTGTTGTCCCTTTCTTCAACATCTTCATCTTGAGTGGTTGGAATGCGAAAACTGGGTCGAGGCTTCCGATCGCTGGCTTCCTCCAGCAGCTATGGCATTAGAGGTATTGTTCGTCAACAATCTATCGTTGGCTTCCTCCAGCAGCTATGGCATTAGAGGTATTGTCCGTCAACAATCTCTTTGTTCCTGTGGACGCGATGGCGAGATTCATGGGAGTGGTGTGGCCGCGTGCACGATATGTCGGACAACAGAGCAAAGAAGTGAACGAGTATCTCGACGTTGCACGCTACATAAGAAACGGGCAAGATGGAACCGCAGCGTACTTCACCTGGCAAAACGGGTGGAAGTAGCACCGCGTCGTGACATCCCAAACACGCGAGCCCATCCTTCCTTATGAAAAAACCGATGCTATGGCCCTTAAGACACGACAAAATCCGATCACTCGAATCCAAACAAATTATCATCGTGCATGGATCCCATATATGTAACTCATGATCAATGCATACACACACGTACAGGTCTAACTTATGAAGGGGGTATATGTATGATCGTTTCCGGTGTAGGAAAGCATATCTATGGATTAGAGTTAACTATGATTGATGTTGAGATGATTTTCGTGCGGTATGTTGCATGAACTAGGAGGCGCCTGAGGTTGGCGAATGGCAAGCCAGCGATCTCTAATCGCCGATCGACAGGGAACTGATGGAGGCAAGAAAGCTTAGTCAGCAGACCTGGGAGACAATTCGTCAAGGGCTCAGAGGTTTACTCTTTGGTCTCTCTTCTCCACCTCCCCTTTCCTCCCCTCCCATTTGAACGGTTGCTTGAGCTGAAAATGTCCGTGTCTGCGATGAAGCTGTCGAGGACTACGCTACCACGGTTTGTCGTTCCTGCAATCCAGGTATGCCCAATCCCAATCCCCCCCACTCATGCTTACACACCCCAGGCACGACACCTCGCCACGCCCACCACGCCCACCAACCCCTCCTTCGCCGAGCGGCTCGCCTCCGGTCCTTCTCTGGGCGACTTCATCCACTCCGATCCCGAAGCTGACCAAGCTCGCGGGATCGAGCGTATCATCCTTGGTAACACTTCCCAGCCCAGGCTGCCATCACATTT